TGCCGGGTTGTTCGACCCCCGGGCCGCGCGGCTACAGGCGGCACGGGCTAGATAGTTCGAACTAGCAAGCCATTCCGAACTATCTGTACGCCTCATGGAACGAGGAATGGCTTGCTAGTTCGAACTATCTAGCCCGTGCCGCGTGTAGCCGCGCGGCATGGGGTTCAAACAAGCCGGCATTTAAAAATGGCGCCGGCCGGCTTATGCAAATGAAGCCTGGGAAATTCAAATCCCGGGCTTCATTTGCACGTTCGGTATGCCTACATTACCCCGCTAGTTCGAACTAGCGGGGTAGTGTAGACATACCCTCAGCGACTGGCCCTTTTTTTCATTCTTAGTCAGTAGGGCAAGGAGGGGGAAAAGGGCCTTTTTATTTGGTTTGTTTGGAGAATCCCTTGAGTACCACAGACAGGGAAGGACTCTCTAAACAGCTCAATCCGTGGGAGGCCACCCACCAAACACCCGTATAACCCAAGGGTCTGTCTCTGTAACTAACTGCCAGCTATGCCCCCAGCTCTGTCACTGCCTGCAACTAGACCTTTGACACACTCGAAAATGGTTGTAAAAAAATGGTTGAAAAGAGAAGCAAATAACTCATGTGTGCAGGCAGCAATGCTGCAAGCAGTCTTAATAAGGGAAGAGAAGGAACTACATTCCAATCAAACCGCAAAGCAGAAGAGGAAGTCCTTCTCAGAAGTGATGCCTTTGATTTTCTTAACATCCTGAAACTCACCTTGGAGAAGTAAGATTTTGGAAGGCTGATTTCCAAGTGCTGATTTCCATCATATTTCACTAGCAGTCCAAAGTCAGTTTCCACCACCAGGTAAATGCCCACGTTCCCTATGGATACACCTCGTAAACGGTTCTTCACTGGAGTGCGGATTCTCTCCTTATTGAACTGGTGACAACAGACCGCTTGTCAACATAGAACATAATCTCCTAGTCAAGTTTTCTCTGCTCATAGTTTATTTTCTCCAGGGTATCTAGAGGATTCCCCCACAGAACTTTATGCCCTTTACACTTTCAGCCTTTGAGGTCACATAGGCCATAGTGCCCACCCTTCCGGCCAAGGATTGGGCAGAATTCCTATGTTATGCCTTTGTCAGGCAGTTGGAAGGGTCACTACTGGGCCGCAAGTCCCTCCCGTTCGTCGGGTTGAGGCTACATCTCCAGTGCCTGGTTAGCCATGCCAGAATATTGTAACCCAGCGCCACCTGGGGCAGCTCTCTATAACCTCAAGTGCCTAAGCCAGATAGAGATGTTTCCTTGTGAAGCCTGGTTCTTCAGCTCGCTCAAGCAGCGGAAACAGATTAGATCCAGAGATTTTAAGCTCAAACCCTGTGGACAGTGACTCATGCATGGGCATTGGTAGCACAGCATACTCAAAATAGGTGCCTCTTACAGCTGTGCTGTGGGAAATTACTTCACACCTCAATGTCACTATGCTGGGAGACACGTGGTGAGTGGGTACAACTGCACCACACAGACTGGAGCGCACATGGCTACCAACAAAAGGCATGCCTGGCCCTTAGTAAGACATGAGGATCCCTTTTTCTGCAGCTGTCTTTGTATGCGGCTTTTAAGATATGTGTCCTCAAAATACAAGTCCCCCCCACATACCAGGATTGCCCTGTCCTTCTGCAGGGTGATCCGGTTGCCATAGACGTCGATGTAGACCTCTTTGAGATATGTGGCCCCTCTTAGTCCTCGCTCTTCGTTTTTGCCGCTGATGGTGACTGGAACGACGCTGCTGCTGTTGCAGACTTTCATCAAGGTGTAGGTGCAGGTGCCCAAGAAGGTGTGCATCACTTTGTCAAAGGTGAAGTAGTGGGGATCTCCTGCCACCTGACAGGATGCTCTCCCTGACGGTTCAAGAAATGCCTCGTGAGTTTGGAGGACTGTATAGTGACCTCAGCTGGCTAATCGTTTCTGTGTGGCTGTCAGGTGTTGTGGATGTGAAAGAGCCTCACGTAGGCTCCAGTGGCCTGAGCTACCCCTCCTCACCAAGGCAAACTCGCACTCAGATTAATGCCAAAAACAGTCACAGGCAAATGTTGTGAAAGAGACACCTCAGCTGGTCTGCACAAAAAAGTACAAACTGCTCGCTGTGCAGACAAACGCAGGAACCGTTACTGCTCTGCAAGCTTTAGGCATGGTGCCTATTACCCGAGGGCACCCCCAAGTGTGTGGATCTTACCCAAGCAATGTAGACTCTAACTATTTTTCTATCTGGCCTTCACGATTGGTATTTTTTCTGTGCGTTCAATGTTTTCATTTATGGGGTTGGGCGATTTGGGGCTTGATTCTGTATTCCCCATTCAAGTAAAACACCAGTGATTATATGCCAGCTCCACTCCCTTTGCAGCTGGAAGCTTGAGGATTGCGAGATAGGGCATTAGTCACTGAAGGTATGTCTACACTACCACCCTAGTTCAAACTAGGGTGGTTAATGTAGGCAACTGAAGTTGCAAATGAAGCCCGGGATTTAAATATCCCAGGCTTCATTTGCATCTTGCCGGGCGCCACCATTTTTAAAGCCCCTCTAGTTCGGATTCCGTGCCCATGGCTACACGCAGCACGGACTAGGTAGTTCGGATTAGGCTCTCTAATCCAAACTACTGGTACACCTCATTCCATGAGGAGTAACAGTAGTTCGGAATAGGAAGCCTAATCCGAACTACCTACTCCGTGCCGCGTGTAGCCGTGGGCACGGAGTCCGAACTAGCGGGGCTTTAAAAATGGCGGCGCCCGGCAAGATGCAAATGACGCTTGGGATATTTAAATCCCGGGCTTCATTTGCAACTTCGGTTGCCTACATTAACCACTCTAGTTCGAACTAGGGTGGCAGTGTAGACATACCCAGAGTGTCTCTGCACTAGCAAGCATCAGCAGCCAGCTCCTTCCTGTGCCATTACAGATGGGTCAGGTATCCAGAGAAACTCTTAGAATAGAAGGTCATCTAGTCCAGTCCCCTGCCCTCATGGCAGGACCAAATACTGTCTAGACCATCCCTGATAGACATTTATCTAACCTACTCTTAAATATCTCCAGAGATGGGGATTCCACAACCTCCCTGGGCAATTTATTCCAGTGTTTGACCACCCTGACAGTTAGGAACTTTTTCCTAATGTCCAACCTAAACCTCCCTTGCTGCAGTTTAAGCCCATTGCTTCTTGTTCTATCCTCGGAGGCCAAGATGAATAAGTTTTCTCCCTCCTCCTTATGACACCCTCTTAGATACCTGAAAACTGCTATCATGTCCCCCCTCAATCTTCTCTTTTCTAAACTAAACAAACCCAGTTCTTTCAGCCTTCCTTCATAGCTCATGTTCTCTAGACCTTTAATCATTCTTGTTGCTCTTCTCTGGACCCTCTCCAATTTCTCCACATTCTTCTTGAAATGGGGGTGCCCAGAACTGGACACAATACTCCAACTGAGGCCTAACCAGCACAGAGTAGAGCGGAAGAATGACTCCTCGTGTCTTGCTCACAACACACCTGTTAATGCATCCCAGAATCATGTTTGCTTTTTTTGCAACAGCATCACACTGGTGACTCATATTCACCTTGTGGTCCACTATGACCCCTAGATCCCTTTCTGCCGTGCTCCTTCTTAGACAGTCACTTCCCATTCTGTATGTGTGAAACTGATTGTTCCTTCCTATGTGGAGCACTTTGCATTTGTCTTTGTTAAACTTCATCCTGTTTACCTCAGACCATTTCTCCGATTTGTCCAGATAATTTTGAATTATGACCCTGTCCTCCAGAGCAGTTGCAACCCTTTGTGAACAAGGAAGAGCTAATGACTGAGCTCACACTTAGAAGCATTTTAAGGGAGAACTCACCAGAGGAGTAACAACCCAACACCCCCTCCTCCACTCTGCATTCCTCCAGCGTCCCACACTCCCAGGCTGCGCACGCAATGCTGTTATTGCTGTTACAGGTGCAGCGCTCCTTGCAGGCATCGTGGGTAAACCAGCTTTCACCCAGCTGTTAGAGAAAGGAGAGGCACTTGAATATAAAATAGTATAACGTCTATGGAGGAGTTTCTCCCTAGGGGACAATGAAAGGAGTTCAATGCCTGTGATACTCTCCAGGCCACTGACTTTCTCCGTAGGGAGAGAGTGTGGCCTAGGAGATGGTGTCTACTCATAGACCTGGGCTTTAATCTTGGCTTTTCTGCTGGCAGATCTTAAACAATTCATGTGACAACACTCTGCCTCTGTTTCCCCACCTGTTAAATGAAACTGACCTCATCTTTAAAGTGCTTTGAGACCTCCTCTTGAACAATAATATACAAAGCTAGGCATGGTTATTATTTGCACCCACAACCCACTGACTGAGCACAGACGTAGTGAATCTTTCTTCATCAATGATTCTCAGCTACAGAGACTCAGAGAGAACCTGGGATTGATGTCTCGGGATAACTTGCCTGATGATAGTGGTTGTTCCCATCCACACAGCCACATTTGCTCTCAGGCACACAGGTGTCTCCGCTCAGAGTGTAGCCTTCCTCACAGAAACAGCCTTCCACGGGCAAGGAGCTGCAAGGGCTAAATGCAGAGGGAGTCACGCAGCTGGAAGGACACCTGCTCCCACAGCTCTTGTACTGGCTTCCTTCGGCACAGGAGATTGCTACAAGTGAGGAGAAAACCGCAGATTACTGAAAGGAAATGGTGCCAACTCCATTCTCTTCACTCCGCCCCTGTTTGTTCCAGACAAACAAAGGGTTGTAAGAAGCTCTGCTCATGGGCTTCAGTGCAGGGCTGCCCACGGCTGGTCATCCTGGACCTTGAGCAATGGGCCTCCATCTCAGCTGGTGTCCTAGGTAACATGTGTGACCGGGCATGTGAACAACGTAGGGGTAAGGAGGAGACATTACCTGGGGCAGACTGCCCCAAAATTGCCTACTGCAAATATTTTTGCACCTTTCTCTGAAGCAGCCTGGTATAGGGCGGCCAGAGAGAGGATCCCAAGTTTGCTGTGCACGGCTCTATTCCACGGAGAGCTTGCACTAGGGTCTGCTCATTGTCGCCACCGGATCCCTCCAGAACAGAGCTGATGCGCACATGGTGAAAAAGGGTGGGGGAAGGGTTCCCTACTGCCTCCTGTGCAGCACCTCTACTGTGGGCTAATGGAGCACTGCTGGGCCCGATTCCCCTCTGCCTAACTCCCGCTTGACATGGGAGAATCTGCATGGCCTTCAGAGGCTGCGGCTGACTCATATCCATGGAATCGAGTGGCGATCCTGGCCCCTCCCTCCCCAGGACCTTGCACAAGGATTACATTGGGGATGTAAAATTACGGTTAAAAAGTTAAACGTTACACTTAACCGGTTAACAAGGCCTGGTGGGCTGCTCCAGCCAGGCCTGGTGTGCCATACCGTAGGCTGGGGGCAATGCTCACTTGGTAACCGATTAACTGGTTACCCCTTTACATCGTAATTAACATTCTTAACCGCTCCAAACAGAATGGACTGGGGCTAGTTTCACTCATGTTGGCCAGTGGTACCATAGCAGAAAGGTCTATTTTTTAAGAACTTCTTGCATTACAAAGGGCTGAATCTCAGAAGTGACTAGCTATCCATTACAGCACTCACGGCACAGAGTACTATTTCTCCATTCTCTGCAGATCCCGGCATTTGTGCACGACTCCGCATAAGCCTGCAGTCCGTTGCATAAGGACGCTGTCGGGTCATCAGTGTGACACATGTCGTACACACAGTTTTCCAGGAATTGCTGTGGAGCTACGTGGCCGTGGCAGTCCTTGAAGATGCCTGGGTAAGTGGAGAAAGATACAGTCTCAGAAAGACAAGAGGGAATCAGCTGAACTTCACCTCTACCCGTCCACTCTCCTGGCAAGGAGTCTGTGCTCCTTGGCAGGGGTAGGGTGATTGGGTCTCCGAAATGAGCCATTCCAAATCTTGGAGCTGAATACACCCACATGCTGAGCAAGCGCTAGATGCAGGCAAGCGCACGCTGCAGACTGGAGTGATTTCTATCAGCGTGCCCAAGGGCTCAGCCACGGCCACACTACCTGAGGGGTCGGTGATCATGCCACAGGCCGTGTTCTTCCTCGCTTCACTCTCCAGCTGAGGGTCACAGATCCCAGGTTGGTCAGGGGAGCACCTGGCAAGGGAAAGACACTCTTCGATGGACGTTCCTTTATCTCCCAGGCCAGATGTGCAAAGGATGGCACCATCCCTGCAGTGCAGGCCTGACTCGGTCACAGCCATGGAGCAGAGTCGGGCTCAGGGAAAGGCTGAGAGCTCTGCTCCCCACTCCCACACTGCAGCAAGGGCTCCGTTCCCGCTCGGGGGAATTGGGGTGCTCCGCCACTCACAGTGGAATTGGGAGTGCGACAAGCCTGCGCAGGAAGCAATGGCTCTGTCAGGCCCCTGAGTGGGACAGCGGGTCACACCCAGCCACCCAGCAGCTCTTCCTGCAATGGGGGACAGGCAGGTGGTAGCAGCTGCTCACTCCCTGCTTATGGTAAATGGTAGGGGGAGTTCCAGGATGCACTGGAGAGGATGGGAGCTGTGTTCATCCCAGAAGGGCCCGGGGGGTGGGGAGGAGTCATGGATGGCACCCTGTGGCAGGGCATGCAGCCTGCTTTCCTAGAGCTTCCTGAGCAGAGACCCCGGATCTGCTTCCTTCTGTACGTACACGGTGTTGTTCTCCGCCGCTAGCCAGCTCTCGCCCAGTTCTGTGGAATCTGCTGCAATGCTGCCGTTCGGCTTCCTGTTGTCGTCCTTCGGATCGCCATTGTAATTACCTGTCACGAGGGAAAACTCGTTGAGTGTGTGAAGGGCAGAACCGCAGCTTAGTGCGTGGCTGTCAAACCAACGGTATGAACGGGCTGGCCTGTGTGTGCACCAGTACCTTCCCCGGGAAGGTGGAGGAATTGCTTACCTATATGTCTCAGACCCCACACTGCTACCAGCTGATGAAGATTCCCCTTTGGAGTAAACCGTAGGGACTATGTTTTTTTGGAGGAACAGGGACTCGGATAAACAAGGTACAATCACCTTGCACTCAAACTCCCTCATCTCTGGGGCTTGAAGCCATGTGAGGAACAGTCTGGGAATAGCAGAACACCCCAGGAAAGGTCATTCCCCTGGGAATTTCCAGTCCCTCCAGAATCTGGGGAACCAGGAACAGCTCACAACACAACTTTCTCCTGCAATTTAATTCCAGGCGTTGGGTTGCGGTAGAGGAGGCAAAGCTGAGTGTGCACTTCGGTGCCGGAGGACGGGCTTTAATCTGGGATACCGTGGATGGTTTTGCACAGTTGCTTTGAGTAAGACCTGCCCCGGATTGGAGTGCGCATAGCCACAAGGGGGAGCTCACTGACCCTGCCTCAGGAGGTTCATGTAGTGCTATGCTTATCTGCTGGGAATCTAACTGGTCTTGGCTAGCTCCAGCGGAGTCTTGCACACTTCTTACCCCTGCCTTAATCTTCACCATTATTTGCTGTTCTAGGAACACTTGAACTAGCAACGTGTCTCCCAGCAAACAGGGAGGAGCTCTCCCTGGCAGAGGCAGACAGGAAAAGGCAGTTCCTGTATAGCAAGGCTTGTCTGCTGCAGACCTAATTGGTGTCTGCTAGCTCTGGAGGGGCCTTGCTCACCCTTCACTGCCCTTTCTTAGTCTGAAGGTTCCTTTGCTGCGTCACTAGCTCAGAACTGAGTCGCCTACATTCACCACAAACGTACTTCTGACACGTCAGTCGTATCTGTTCTGTTCTGTCTCACTTGACTCTCCAGGGGGTTCTGGAGTTCGTACCCTGCACTGCACCAAACACTGGGTGGCACGTATCAAAGAACAGCAAATAAAGGTGGAGATTAAGCATGAAAAGGATTCATAGCGGGTTATCTAGTCCATCCTTGTCACTATGCCATGAGTGTTCCATAGAGAGGGATTTTCTCATGCTTTGCCTTGCAGTACAACTACCTTCTGCAGCAGCTGGAGAACAGAAAGCAACTCTAAACAGAAGGCTCAGTGATCAGAGGAGCCTCAGGCCAGGGATACATGGCAAAGAGCCGAGGGAAAGAAGTTGTTGAGGAAAAACAAATAATCAAATGAAAAAGCTGCCCCTTTAAGAGCCACGTATCATGTTTCTAAGCCCCCCTCAAGCGATGCCCAGACCAGACAAGAAAAAAAGGTGAGAGCGGGGGAACGCAGAACAGCCACGGGTGAGGGAGCCGAGCCGCGGCGGGTGCAGGATTTTTTCTTTGAAGAGCCGCATGCGGCTTGCAATCCGTGGGCTGGCTACCCCTGCCTTAGGCTGTGCACATGCTATAACTGTGTTCACACAGTAGTTATGTGCCTGTCCAAGGAACAACATAGCAGAGAGGAAAATCTTGGAATGGCTGTTAAGCAGCCACTTGGAAATCTGTCCTTAGCCGCAAGAAGGGCCTGAAGGTTTTAGTATCGTTTTGAAGATTAAAGAAATAAAGAGCACGGGTTGGGCTGGAGAATCCCCTTCAAAGAGAGACAGACACAGTTGACATCGGAAAGAGACAAGGGGGCTTTGACCAGGGCATCTGTGGTAGAACTGGCATAATAACCAGACTGCAGATCAGAATGTGAGATTCCTTTTCTGTTAATGAGACCTGCAGTTGTCATTCCTGACATTCAAGTTAACCACTTCGTAACCAGAGTTCTTGCAAGTCATGCTAGCCAGATACCCAATCAATTATGATGATTCCTTTTCTCCAGTTCCCTCAATCCCAGTCCACACAAGACGGACCAGACGACTGTGGCATAAACAAAGCACAACATATAACAAACCAGCCGGTCCCCACGGTGAACGGGTAATTGAGAGGCTCCTGATGCGATGATCTGAAGGTTTTCAGGAACAGGGATACTCACCACACAGACCACAGAGCTGGCCCTGGTAGTCACAGGGCACTGACACCTCCGCATAGTGATTGCCGTCGAATCTGACCCAGAGTCCAAAATCGGTTTCCAAGAGCACGTAGCCCCCGCTGACCTGGATCTTGATCTTGTTTTCAATCTCCACAGGCAGGTTCCTTCTGGTGCCGTTCACCTGCAACTACCAGTCCTGAGCGTTCTCAGCGCAAACCTAATTCCAAGAAGCGCACACAGCCAGTGAGAAAAGAGAAACCCACCAGGTGACCTGCCAGTGCAATCCAATGTCTCAGTTTTCACAAGTCTCAGTTAGGAATGTCAGATGATTGGAATATTGCTGTTAAATCACCTTTCACTTACATTCACTTTCCTGTTCTGCAGCAAGGAAATCTGAGTTCCGTAGACCTCCACGTGCACGGACTTTACATAGGACACTTTGGTATTGGAGCCCCTGTGCTCGTTGGTGGTGGAGACGTCGAAAGGTGGGAGCCCCCCGGAGGCGTTGCAGACTTTGGAGAGGGTGTAGGTGCAGTTTCCCATGAAATGGTGAACTCTGCCGTCAAAGGTGTTATAATGTGGGTCCCCTGAGGCACTGCAGGTGCCACGGACACCTTAGGAGGAAAAACGGTGGATTAATGCCAGGCAATTCTCAGCCGTGTTATGAATAACATGAGCTGAGAGATTAGTCTGCATTTCAGTTAATGCTGAGATTTCAAAGTATTCAACAAATCTAACCCTATTCTGCACTGAGGCACCAATTTTTACCCCACTGGAGAATGGGAGAGACATTGTTATAGTCCTGAGGACTCCACCTTACCTGTCTGACAAGGGTCTTCTGTAGTTGGACTTGCTGTGGTCGGGGATTCTCCTGGTGAAATATATAAAGAAATTACAGTTAAGACGTTGGCCATTAAGACGTTCCACTATGAAGAGTGGAATAGGATGAGCCTTTTACACTTTTGCATTCAATTGCAAATGATCTAGTGTGAGAACTGTCATCTGAGGAACACAGCGTGCATAGCCTGTATGCAAGCAGCAGCAGCTCAAACAACTCCTTACAATGCACAGGCTGTATGTGCCCTCAGCATACAAGCGCTCTTGTGTGACCAAAGAGGGGGATTTTCTCTCAACCCCAGTGTCCGGGCAAACTTACCTGTGGTACTTGCATCTGCAGGGGTGCTCGTTGTGTGGTGCGGAGTGGTCTCTGTAGGAGAGCTGGTTCCTTTCTCTGTTGTGGAATCTAACACGAGATGATCCCAGAATTGGTTAGTAAGACCCAAGAACCGCAAGAGTGAGGGTCGGTAGCATACACAGGGAAACTGGGACCTACACTTCAAAATGAACCTTTCTGCATCCCAACTGCTGTGTTATTTGTAACCTCATGTGAAACCAGCCGCCAATTTCACGGCCCACCAGGAAAGGACAAGGAGACTGAGAAAGGTCTGAGGGAAACACATTACCTGATGGACTGGTGCCTACGGTAGTTGGACTTGAAGTGGTTGAGGGTTCTCCTGGGAAAAGATACAAGGAAATTAAGGTTGAGAATGTGCTCATTCTGGTCTATGAAAAGAGTCACAGAATATCCCTTCAAAACACCAGACTCTGCAGCGAGGACCAAATCCATTCTGAGTTAGGTTAAGGCATCTCAAAATACAACCTACGGCTAA